CTGTCCATACAAACAGTTCTGGAGGGGTGCCTTTTACAGAGGGACGTGGTCTTGTGCAATCTAGTTGCCTATAATGGTGGTTTCTGATATGTCAGTGACCTATAGACTTCTCTTGGAATTTCAGCAGCTGCTTTTCTTAATTTATCTGGCACAGCATACACAGCATAATCCTGTTGAAGCACCAGCTTTTGGGCTCCTTTTGGGCTTATTCTCCTGAAGCCATTGGAAAAAAAAAAATCACTGAAAATAAGATAAAACATCCAGCAACTCATGCTTCTCCCCTCACCAAATACACTGCAGAGCCAAACACAGATAGGGTCATCTGGAGGGAGAAATCTTTTGTTTTAAAAATCCATTTGGACAAGCTGCCCCTCTGAACAAAAGTTTTTCTCTCAATGTTGAAAGGTTCTTTTTAAGTGTTTACAGCTACTTGCAGTTAAATGTTCCTCATGGAATGCAAAGCAATAACCCAGTGCTGTACTGCTGCAGTCTCAGCAAAAGTCACAGTTTCGGATGGCAAACTACACAGAGTCAGGGTCTGAAATCCATTTTGTTCAAAGATGGAGTCTTCAACTGGACCAATCCAGGGGCAAAAAGTACACTGGCCTAAAAAGTAGGGACATTCCCAGATCTGTATTTAAAGTAAGAAAAAAAGGTCTAGAATGAATGTGAATTTCTACTTAACTGAAGAACACTGTTGGCAATGACACCTATGTCTAGATGCAATTAGTGTCACCACTATACCCTCACATCTCTATTATGCAAGCCCTTTTTGATTGGTATGGCAATTTGTCCAGATATGAGCCTGTGCCAGGACTCAGCCCCCTCCATCAAGGCCTCAGAACTGGGATACTTACCTGGTCCGTGGCCCTCAGAGGGAAGGAAAGGCATCAGCAGGGATGGGCATGAACCAGCTTACAAAGTAAAGTCTGTAAAAAACTTTTGCCAGCTTGAGGTTCGCGGTTTGTGAACTGAGGTTCATGGCTCTGACCTTTCATGAACTTTTAGCAGCTCATGAATGGAGCTCATGGCAGCTCATGAATGGAGACAGACTGGTGTTGATCAATTAAACTGTTTACAAAACTCCAAGACAACAAGGGGGTGGAATTCTCTAGTCTTGGAAACACCAGTAGGAGCTCTCCAAACCTTAACAGGCACTGCTGACTGACATTCACAGAGTTCCCATTCTGCTGTATGGACTCAGAAGGCTATATATTTGTCAGCTCTGCTCCCAGTCTCTTGTTCATTGGCTGGTGAATCGAGAGAGAGGCATGGAGCTAGCACAGCAGAGTGATTGCTTTGCTTTCTGCTTGTGTTCTGCTCTCTGCTGGGACTCAGGGCTCTGAACCACCCAGTCTCTGTGCTCACACTGAGGCTTAGCTATTGGGTACCTCCCCAGAGGATTCACATTTATATATTCCCCACCCCATCGGCTCCAAACTACATGGAGAATACATTTTCCTTGGACCAAATGAGAAGGACATATAATTGAAGTATGATTCAAGATACGAGTATATCACCAGGGCAGAAGGTATTGAAATTGGGCCCCTGTATCATATATCTGCCTTGATTCACTGAGACTTATAAAATAATTTTCAATTGGTCCCAATTTTAGCAGTTATTGTATTATCTTGAATCAATGTGCAATATGTTTGACCACTAAGGAACGCCAAATTGGCTGAAATCCTTATGGTTTTGGTCACATATGGTTTATGCTTGATACAATTGTGGAGAAGGAGGAGGAGGAGATTGGATTTATACCCTGCCCTTCACTACCCAAAGATGTCTCAGAGTGGCTTACAATCTCCTTTCCCTTCCCAACAGACACCCATGAGGTAGGTGGGGCTGATAGAGCTATTTCGAGAACTGCTGGCAAGAGAACAGCTCTGAAAGAACTTGTAACTGACCCAAGGTCATACCAGCAGCTGCATGTGGAGGAGGGGGGAATCAAACCCGGTTCTCCCAGATTAGAGTCTGTGCTCCTAACCACCACACCAAACTGGCTCTCAGTATGTATGATTTTATCCTGTATTGAGGCTACTATTTGGGCCTATATCTGTTTTTATCTGATTTGTAATAAATACATGCATATTTAAGTTGTATACTTATAATTGATATCATTTAGCCCTTAGATATGCTGTAATTAACCTTGTGAATGCAGACCACACCATGGCAAGCATTACTGCCATGATACAGAGAACCTGAGGGAGTAGGTGGGCAGTAGCAACATCAATTATGGCTACATGGTCACGGATGCTGGCACCAACATGCTGGCAATGGTGAAGGCTACACTCCTCAAGGACATTGACTTCCTGGCACACATGCTTCACCTTGTGGTGAAGGATCCTCTAGGGCTGGGGAGCACTGTGAGGGCCACCTGGGGTGCTGCCACCCTCAAGCTGCAGTCCCTGTTTGAGACCTACTGGCGCCTGGCCACCCACTTCTTACACAGCATCAAGTGTGTATGTACTGCAAGAAGCAGGGGAGGGGGATGAGTCTGAACACAGGCTCATCCAGGACCTACCCACCCCATGGAACTCCACATATGCCATGATAGCACATTTGGTGGAGCAGAAGAGAGCAGTGCAGGATGTCATTTCCTCCGTGACCATCCTGTATGGAGAAGAGGAGCTCAGCATCATCTTGAATGAATGGCTGACCCTTGTAAGGTTCCACAGCCAAACAATGGAGTACACGCTTATCATAAGGTTATACTTTATTGTAAGAGCTATAGAGGCAGTAACATCGTTACTGTTAGGAATGGCTACGTTCCTACAAGCATAATGGGATATAGGATATTTGTATGCACCCCCCCATCCCTAGGCCAATTGCCCTGACTCCCACGCATGGGAGAATGGGGCCCCAGGCCATTAACGCCAAAGCTGGGAATCGAAACTAGTCCCATGGGTAATTGATGGGAAGACATTACACAGGCAGTCTACAAGGTCAGAGATAATAAGGAATGAAGGAATGCAGCGGCAGCTGGCACACAGGTCAAGCAAAGGCACTCCTGCCCATAAACATCATGGCAGCATAGCTGACATTCTGCCCACCCAAAAGTCAGCCCCTCCCGGGCATTCCGGGAGGTCTCCTGGGCATTCAGGGAGGTCTCCCGGCTATTCCAGGAGGCTTCCCGGTTTATCCAGAAACTCCCAGTGAAACTTGTGCAACAGCCTAGGGGCTCGAATATCCCCTACTTCCACCCACTCGTGGTACTGGTGTCCAAAATCATGCCATTCCACCAAGTAAAACAGTTTTCCACATTTGAGTTTAGAGTCCAGGATCTTCGAGATTTCAAAATGTTCCTCGCCCTTGATCATTATGGGGGGGGGGGGCCGGCACTGGGTGAGAAATGGGCGCTATGGGCTTGAACCTGACGCCTGTTTCAGGAGGCTGAAATGAAACACAGAATGGATAAATTGGGGGGGGGGTTGGGATGATAAGCACTGCTTAATGCTCATTCGATTCCCATAAGCTTCATAAGCTCCCCCCAGAACCAGGAAACGAACTGGGCCCCCCTATCAGATATGACTTTGGCCAGAAGCATGTGGAGACGGACCACATGGAGCAAGAAAGCTTTCGCCAGTGCTTTTGCCGTAGGTAGGGAAGCGAACGGGACAAAATGCACTTGCTTTGAGAATAAATCCACGACAACCCAAATGACCGACATAGTCTTACTCGGGGGCAAATCCGTAATAAAGTCCATGGAGATCACCTCCCATGATTGACTCAGAGTCGGGAGAGGATGCAGCAATCCCAGGGGTTTGCCCGGTCTGGATTTACACATGGCGCAAGTTTGGCATGATTTTACAAACGCTGACAAATCCTTTCGCATCTGCAGCTACCAGAATTGCCTTTGCAGCAGCTACAAGGACTTAACAAACCCGGGGTGACCGGCCAATTTCAAGCTGTGTACCATGTTCAATACTTCCCCCTGTAGGGAATTTGGGACAAACAGTTTGCTGCTGCAGTACCAACACCCATCCGGTTTGAGTTCCAGCCCCCCCCTCTGACTCCACCTCCACCTTGTCACCCTCTGAGAAGGCAGAGATAAATCTACTGTTCCAAGGTGCCCCGCCTGGCAAGACAGGGGGGTGGGGACAGGATCCCGGCTGCGTATTAGATAAGGAGGGGCTGGAACGGCTGCGCGTAGTCATCACCCCGCCGAGCTGAGAGGGCGTAGAGTCCAAAATCACCTCCCATTGGCTGTCGTATTGAAGGAGGCGGGATAGGGCATCGGCGAGAGAGTTCGCAGAACCGGGGAAATGATGAAGTGTAAATTAAAACTTGGAAAAGAAATTGGCCCACCGGAGCTGTTTGGTGTTAAGGCTCTGGGGTGTTTTAAGCATTTCCAAGTTCTTGTGATCAGTCCATACTTCAAATGGGACTTGCGCCCCTTCCAACCAGTGCCTCCAGGTAGCAAGTGCCAGCCTGATCGGCCCCGCCTCTTTTCCCCAAACAGACCAGTTATGCTCAGTGTCATTAAACTTTCTTGACACATAAGCTAGGGGGTGTAGTAACCCATCATCCCTCTCTTGCAGGATCACACCCCCTATGGCTATGTCTGACGCGTTGAGTTGGACGATAAATATTTTGTTTTCATTGGGGTGGGCTACAATGGGTTCTGATGTGAACAAGGATTTAAGGCACTCAAAAGCCTCTTGGCATTCTTTGCTCCAAGCCAGCGTCAGCCCTGGCTTGGTAGCCTCAGGACCCTTCCCTTTCGTTTTTAACAAGTCAGTGAGGGCAAACTGATTTGTGCAAAGTTGGGCAGAAAATTTCTGTAAAAGTTCGTGAAACGAGGAAGGATTGTAATTGGCGGCAGTTGTGGGAGGTTTCCTACCCCAGCACATCACGGACCTTCCCCGGGTCCATTTCTAGTCCCTTATTCAATATCCAATACCCCAGAAATTTAATGTGTGACTTGTGAAACTCGCATTTGGAAAGATTCGTGAACAGTTTGTGCTTGTGCAATGTCATCAGGACTTCCCTCACCAACTTCACGTGTGACGGGAGGTGATATCATCTAGATAAACGAGGGCCCCCTTAAACAAATGCTTGTGCAGAACTTCATTAATCAAATTCATGAAGACCCCCGGAGCCCCCTGAAGACTGAACTGCATTACGCGGTATTCGAACTGGCTGAGGGGCATGTTAAAGGCAGTCTTGTGCTTGTCCCGATCTTGGATGCGGACCCGGAAGTATGCATCACAGAGGTCTAGTTTCGAGAAGACTTTCCCTTTAGCCGCTTCGGCTAGTAAATCCTTGATGAGGGGCATGGGGTAGGCATTAGTCAATGACACAGCATTTAAGCCCCGATAATCCGTACACAGTCGCAAGCCCACGTCTTTCTTTATCCGGAACAGCACCGGGGTCGCAAAAGGGGAGGAGGCTGGCCTGATGAAACCCCTTGCTAGGTTCTTATCGATAAACTTACACAGTTCATCCATCTCTGCCGGCCCCATCACATAGATGCATCCCTTAGGCAATTTGTGACCCGGCAGCAATTCGATACTACAGTCTGAGTGCCTATGGGGGGGGGGGGGCTTGTTGGATTTTTCTTCTTCAAAGACCCTAGCCAAGTCTCGGTATTCGGGGGGAATAGATTGTAATTCCTCTTGGGCCAAGCACACCCTTGGGCTTTCCAGGACAGGTTGTGCACCCCACTGTGGGTTCCAGCAGTGCGCGTGGCACGAGGGGAGATGAACAGCACCTTCCCCTCATCCCACAAAATGTACGGGTCATGTCCATGCAGCCAAGAGCTCCCTAGTACCAACGGGAACCTGGCGGCGTGGGTGATCACAAACGGACGTTCCTCCCAGTGATTCCCCTGTCCCCACCTGAAATGGGACCATCTCGAATTCACATGGCTCCTTCATCATGGACCCATCCGTCTGGGTGAAAATTAGGGGATCTTGCAGTTTCACCACCTCTGCTTCCAACCCTGTTACTAAGGGCTGCCTGGCCACGGCGCCGGGACCGGTCCCTCCCCTGGTCGCGGCACCGGCACATCCGGCGGGCCCAGTGGTCTCGGTTCTTGGGGCACCGGTTCCCGGGGGGCCTGTTGGCGGGGGAAGAGCAGGAGCCAGCTGTTGTGCCTCCCTCTCGGCCCTTAGGGCTCGCAGCACCATCTCTGGGATTGCCTGGATTACTTCCTCAAGTTCCCATCTTAGTTGATGCCTGTCCCGCTGCACGGCTTCCAGGCAGAGAGCCAACTCGAGTCCCTCTTCAGGGGAGGTGCGGCCGCTCCATGCTTTGGAACAGCCCATCACCCAGACCCCGGGCAGTGCTTCTAAGGCTCCCCCAAACGGGGGGAAGCCAGTTTCAGATGCAAATCCCACATCAAACCGGCTGTCCCTCCGGAGCTCCTGCATGAGCACATACGTCTCCGCTGTTGAATCCGGGTTAAATTGGCCCCACCTTAACGAGCCTGGTTGATACCCCTGCCTGGGCAGTTGCCTCGGTCCGCAGGGGGTCAGGAAAAGGTGAGCCGATGTTATCTTTGGTACGGTTCCGTGCTCCGGGGCCTTCCCCGGGGTAGTTACAGGTGGCGTAGTAGTCACCGGCACGTCGGTCTGGGTGGTGGGTGATTCCTCCCCAGTTGTCGTGGGGATAGGTTTCTCCTCTTCATCGCTCATCTCGGGTTGAGAGAGGTGCGTAGATAGAGAAAGTGGATTCCTAACAGAATGCAAGGTTCCACAGCCAAACAATGGAGTACACGCTTATCATAAGGTTATACTTTATCGTAAGGGGATACCGTAAAAGCCGGAACGGCCCGGAACGGCCCGGAACGGCCCGGAACGGGCATTAAACACACAATAGTACCGCAAAAAACAGTGGCATGCATTACAGTCACTCCAGAACCATATTCTAGAAGAGAAACAGGGAACTCTCACACTTTAATTAACCCTTTCCAGGCCAAAATGCCTCCGGAACAGCCCGGAACGGGCATTAAACACACAATAGTACCGCAAAAAACAGTGGCATGCATTACAGCCACTCCAGAACAGTATTCTAGAAGTGGGAAACCAGAACTCTCACTCTTTTATTAACCCTTTCTAGGCCAAAATGCCTCCGGAACAGCCCGGAACGGGCATTAAACACACAATAGTACCGCAAAAAACAGTGGCATGCATTACAGCCACTCCAGAACAGTATTCTAGAAGTGGGAAACCAGAACTCTCACTCTTTTATTAACCCTTTCTAGGCCAAAATGCCTCCGGAACAGCCCGGAACGGGCACTAAACTGAAAATAGCACCGCAAAAAACAGTGGAATGCATTACAGGAACTCGAGAACCATATTCTAGAAGTGGAAACAGGGAACTCTCACATTTTTATTAACCCTTTCCAGGCCAAAATGCCTCCGGAACAGCCCGGAACGGCCCGGAACGGGCACTAAACTCACAAGAGCACTGCAAAAAACAGTAGATTGCATTACAGGAACTGCAGAACCATATTCTAGAAGTGGAAACAGGGAACTCTCACTCTTTTATTAACCCTTTCCAAGACAAAATGCCTCCAGAACAGCCCGGAACGGCCACTAAACACACAAGAGCACCCCAAAAAACAGTGCCATGCATTACAGGCACTCCAGAACCATGTTCAAGAAGTGGAAACAGGGAACTCTCACTCTTTTATTAACCCTTTCCAGGCCAAAATACCTCCGGAACGGCCCGGAACGGGCACTAAACACACAAGAGCACCGCAAAAAACAGTGGCATGCATTACAGGCAATCTAGAACAGTATTCTAGAAGTTGAAAATCAGAACTCTCACTCTTTTATTAACCCTTTCTAGGCCAAAATGCCTTCGGAACAGAACGGAACGGCCCGGAACGAGCACTAAACACACAAGAGCACCGCAAAAAACAGTGGCATGCATTACAAGCCCTCCAGAAACATGTTCTAGAAGTGGAAAAAGGGAACTCTCACACTTTTATTAACGCTTTCTAGGCAAAAATGCCTCCGGAACAGGCCGGAACAGCCCGGAACGGGCATTAAACACACAATAGTACCACAAAAAAAGTGGCATGCATTACAGGCACTCCAGAACAGTATTCTAGAAGTGGAAAACCGGAGCTCTCACTTTTTTATTAACCCTTTCTAGGCTAAAATGCTTCCGGAACAGCCCGGAACAGGCATTAAACAC